TCAAATCGTGCTGTGTATCAAAACAGCCTCTTTAGAAATCGTGCTCAGCAGCTTGAGCTAGGATCCTTGTTGCCTTGCAGGGCACTGCAGATTAGTGCTGGTGCAAGACTGGGTTCTTAGCACAATCTCAAACCCTTTAATTAAAATAATGTGGAACAAAAAGGGAGAATTAGTTAAAAATGGAAGCCCAGCTTGTCTTTTTATTAGACTTTTCCTCACTTTCTCTGCTGCTCTGATAAGAAGGATGTTTCCTCTCTGGGATGGAGTGAATAAACTGGGATGAAACTCATTTGTTTGGGCATTATGTGTTAATTAATTTCTAACACTAATCCCTTCCCCATACACTGTTCCTTTTTGCTTCTGGTTTTTAGATAGTAGAATACAGTCCTGTTTTGAGGAGAGGATGGGAAGGTTTTGCTGTGTTACAGAAGGGAGAAGGCTGTGCTGTTCTTGGGGAGGCTTTGCACAGTGGTCCATGTTTGGGGAGTCAGGTTTTTGGAAAGCTCATCTAGAACATATGAAACAGCATTACTGTGACCTTCAGCTGTGGCACTGCAGCCTCACGCTAGTGAAGGGGGTGAGCCCGTGTGCTGCTGGTAGGGACTTTGGCTCCCTGATGGGTCTCTGACTCTGCTGTCCTGTGTCAGCCTTAGCTGTGGCTGTGGTCCTCTACTGGGCATGAAAGCACTGGGCTACTGCCATATAGTGGTTTTAGTGGGGAAAACAAACCAAAATAAAACCAACAAAACCCCCACCCAAATAATGTACTTTTTATATAAAATTATCTTTTGGAATAAACGGAAATAATCTTTGAGACTCTGAACAATGTGGGCTGGTTTTCTTTTTGTATCCAGCCTTTCCTAGACTTCCACTGGAATGAGTTATTTTTAAGTAGTCTCTCTAAACTGATGGGAACTTTGCCATTCAAGCAGGGGAAGACATGGATTCTTGCTCTGATCTTTCAGTGATTAAGTGAGTTTAGTTTTTTCTTAGCCCTTTTGCTCAGCAGTTATTCCTGGCTGCCGCTGCATCCTGCTTGCTTGGCTTTGTCAGTTCTTTCAAAATCAATAGGTGCTGGTGAATTACTGGAATTAGAGAATATAACAAAATGGAAGGTGTGAGCATTGCTTATAAAGTGATAGGATGGTCTTTAATTCAAACTGCCTTGCTCTCTCATTTCTTAGCTATACCTAAGTGTGTATATGAATGAAAATCCCTGTTCAAGGAGAGGTAAAATAATAGCAGGCAGTCCTAGAAAAGGGCTAATTTTTCATTCTGTTCAAGTACTGAAAACGCTGCAGATGTCTTGAGCAGTGATTTTGTGTGCTGCCCTGTGAACTCTTCCCCACAGTGTGATTCTACTGGGCTCACTTTCCAATAACAGAGTCAAGGCTGACCTCTGTCCTCTCATCTTGCTATGGTTTCAGGTGGATCAAGAGACAGTGGAAAAAAATGTGTACAAAACAAATTCCAGCTTGCCAGCATGTTCTGGAAATCCATAAAGCAGGGAAGCATCAATTATGTAGTGGCTATAGACTGGAAAGGATGGACTTCTCACAGGGAATTTCTTGGCTATGGCGTATTTCACTCTTTAAATACAAGGAGACATTTGGATTCTGACAGGTGTGGAATTGGGACCACAGTGGCCTTGAATTGCTGAAAGCAGGTTATAAAATAAGGAGGAAAATAATCCTCTTCCTAAAAATTGATTTTCTTTTGTGGTGTATTTCAAATTATGTTCTTTTCTAGTCTGACAGCAATTTTCATCTATTAGGCTTCAGTTTGTGAAGACTCTTGGCTATGACAAAACTGAATTTGGTCAGTTAAAGCATTGAGGAGAACTGTTTGAAGGATAGTCATTGCTGAGGTGAGCAGGGTGCATCTGTGGAGGTGTGCTGGGGTCAAGCCCCTGCAGAACCATCTGTTGGCATTGGAGGGCCAGATCCAGCATAGAAAGTCTCTGATGTGGTTTGGATCAGGTTGCTGGTCCCTGCATAAGTAACATGCTGTTAGAAAAGGGTCCACTGAGAGCATTCGATCTAGTTATCTGTTGATATAAGCAAATCAGTCCCACTGGAGGTTACTAAAGCCTGGTGAGAATTTACACTATCTACCTTAAGTCTCTATTCCCATGGAGTTTCCTAACAGGATAATAGATTATTGGTATACAAAGGCAATTACACCCTGCTAAGAGAATTAGTACTCAAAATACAGAGTAAATCTCCCAGCAGTGGGGTTAGATCTCACTGTTTCTGGCTGGAATGAAGAATCTTAGCAGGTGAGGTTGTGGGTATTCCCTATTCCTGGGAATAGGGGGACGTGGCTGATGCTGCTGGTTCATCAATTTATATTTGCCTGGTGTAAGCAAGAAAAAAAATATCAACTGTATTATGAACTGCTGGGGATTTTTTTTTAATCTTTGTAGGTATCTGAATAACTTAATGCTTCTGTCTCCTGGCGTAGTATGGACAAATTGGGAGCTTTTGCTTAAAATCCTATGTTGCTCACTAAGTATTAGTACATTTGTGGGGAAAAGTGTCAAAACTGGGGTTGAATATTGGAGCTGGTGGTCTGGTTTGAGGAGTCAGGGCACTGGGAGCAAGGTATGTGCTTCTGTTCAAGAGTCCAAGCCTGTGTCTGAGCCACACTGCATGCAGAGCATGGGGTTAATAAGGTGGGGTTTTTAAAGCTCTCCCTGACCACACCATCACTTGTGTAAATTCCACGGTGCTGTTTATATGCTCATTTGAGCCCTCTAAGGCTGTGCAGAATGAGGTTATCTGGTTGTAGAGGTCTGGGTGGTGGAGCCGAGCCGTGTGCCGGCTGCCCTCTAGTGAGTCGCTGCCCACAATAAATCACGGCTCGCCATTCACAGTGATCAGTGATCAGTGTAATCCTTTTAATCTCAACCCGACGATGCTCCATCTTCCTGGTAGGAATGTGGTTGCAGACCAATTAGTGCGTGTTAAGCCAGGGGAGGTAAATTTTGCTTTTCTGAAGAGTATAACCACCGTAGGGGGTGGGAGGGTGGCTGTTGAGGTGTGGTACCAAACCTCTGCCTTTCCACTGGTAGTGGAGCTGTTGCTTCTGTTATCCTGCACTTACTGGAGTGAACTGCAGTGCTGCTGGGGACTGACCCTGGGAAGGAGCTGCTGGCTCAGGTGAATGACAAGTTTCTGCACCAGATTTCTGTCTGTATAATGAAACTGTAGGGTGGCTTCTAACAGCTTCAGGAGTGAGCTGATGGGCCCACGTGAACCAGGAGTAAACCAGTGTGTGACACATGTGTCTGGTGGTGAGAGCCCTTGCTGTGGCTGTCTCCATCTTCCCCTCAACCCCACTGCCCTATAGGACTAGCTACTGGTACCAAAGCATGCTGACATCTCTCCATGCCAGCCATGCCATACAAGCACTGGGAAACATTTTGCTTTGTTTCCATAAGGAAACAAATCCCTTTAGATGGGCTTTTGTAATTGTGTATTTCTTTGTTTATATATTATAATGGTTGTGGTGTGTACGTGGTTGAGGAGGGTAGAACCTGGTACAGGTCCTGTCTGACAGCTGCTATCATCCTCATGATCACAAGGGTTCAAAATGCAGTTTCTGATATGAGGTTGTGTTTCTGAGATGAAGTGTGTTGGGCAGTTCCTCTGGGCTTGAGTCTTACATGTGAAGGTCCCCAAAACTGCAAGCAACATCTGCTGCAGCCTGCTGTGGAGGGAAGCCAAGGAGAGCAGAAGATCTCATTGGTGTTGGATGGTTTTAGTGCTAGAGTTGTCTTATCTGGGTTTGTGAATGCAGGGTGGGCATTGTAGCAAAATTCACCCGGGAGGTGAATTGGGTGGATTCCCGCATGAGAGCAGGCTTGAAACAGGCACCGGTGCCCTAGGCCATTGATAGACCGGTCCTGCAGCAGCAAAGTGCTGCTGCTTTGAGGAGCTGATTGTTGAGGATGCCCACGGGGTAGAGAGGAGAAGATTGGGTAAGCAGGGTTAGAAGAGCTTAGTCAGGATGTGTTTGTTTAAAGGATATGCTTCAGCCTGACTCCTGTAATTAGGTAACATGTATATTTCTGTTCCTTGGAAACACTTCATTCATTAGCCTAATAGAGGGAAGGATTATGTAGAGATGAACCTAAAAGATGTTAAGCAAGGTTGGCTTTGCATCTGTAATGAACTAAGGCATGAAGCAGCTGTAGCTACTGGAAAGGGGGGCACCCTGAGCATCATCAGGGAGTCGTGCTGCCATCTGCTATTAGCAGGCCTGGATGGGGAGGTTGTTCTGTAGTGTCCCATGAGAAGGATGAAATCCATATGTGGTGCAGAAAAGTGAGGATAAAAAAGGCAGGAGGACTACAGGTGTGAAGTAAGGCTTGCTTCTTCTAGGAAGCAGTCCAGTAGCATACCAGAGGTGTGCTACACAGAGATGCTTTAAGATGTTTAAATCAGGAATGTCGGAATCCCTGATTTGAGCACCCTGGATGCTGTGCACATGCCAGCAGCTCCTTTGAGGGTGCTGATTTTACACTTACCCTCTAGGGATGTGCAGTGAAGTAGGTGAATTTCTCCCTAAATAGTAACAGTTATGTACTGGAGGGCAGCAGCAGTTGAAATGCAGCAAAGCACGGACACTGACAGGGCTGCAGCGGTGAAGAATGAGACAACAGAGCTTGATTTCTCCCTAGGAAGTCATTTTACTGGGGTAAATGAGGAAGAGTGACCTGAAGTCTGAGCTCATTGAGCAACCTGCAGAGCTGAAGCATGTTTCTGATGGACTTGAGGGGAGTCCTGCAGCCATGGGTGGGCTAGTGACTCCTGTGTTTTCTGCTAGCCACTGCAGCCAGGCTGGCTCAGCTTGGGATCAGCCTTTTCCTTGGCACAACACTGGCCTGCTCACCAGTTGCTGTGTGTTTTGATGCATTTGCATGGTACATCCCATATGTAACAAAACAGCTGCCAAAACCTGTAACTGTGTGAACAGAGATATTTAAGGCATAAGAAAGGTATCACAGCTTGCACTTTGAGATCAGAAGAAACCTTCCTGAAACATCCATGCATCTATTCTTTTCCTTCCATGGGAAGCTGGGACATTGGGGCTGATCATTTGTAAAGTGATGCTGATTGTCTTGAGTCCTTATAGCCTGGGTAATAAATGAGAACAGACAGGCGAGAAGTGGAAACAAGACTCCCCATTCTTGACTCTGAACATTAAACCTACGGCTGTGGAAGAGGAGCTGCACTTACGTAAAAGAAAGTTTGGGAGGAGGAGGAAGAGCTTGTTTTGTTACGACTTTGGCACTGAAATTCTTTTGGTGATCAAATATCCCTTTTGAAATCGTTGGGTGAAAGTCTTAAATCCTACGGAACCACTTTCTTTGTTTTAATTTCTTTCCAAGCTGGGGCAGGAGCAGACACATGACTTAAAACACCTCCTGCGCCGAGCTGGCCTTCAGCATACGCAGCAACAGGCTGAACCAGTTTGCTCATTGCTTTCGTCTCCTGACAGGCGCTCTCTTGTCCCAGGCACCCTGGGAGGTGCTTGGTCTGCACTCCAGAGCTGCAGGAATTCCCCTGCCTCCAGCCACCGGCTCGGAAGCTGCGGTGTGTGGCAGCAGCCTCTGACCAGCGGCGGACCCATAGAGGAGGCTTTGCAGAAGAACCCAGTTGAGGTTGGGGACTGAGAGGAGCATCTGGATACGGAGTCAGGGAGAGGGGTTTATGGCGTGTGGCAGAGGGTAAGGCGTGCAGGCAGCTTTCTGTTCCACAAGTATCCATCTCCTGAGTCTCAGGTGAGAGAAACTTGGCTTTCTGAGCTGATGAGTTGCTTGAGCATGGGTGGCTCTCCTTGTGTTTTGAGTTGGGGGGGGGGTGTGTTCCTGCGGTTGGTGGATGTGCTCTGGGGAGCTCAGATCAGAGGTGACTGAGTATGAAGGGTATTCAAAAGTTTCTCCCAGGCTTACTTTGCATGGGTGTTGCTAGTGGAAACAGCTCCTGGTGCAGTCCCTGATGCTGGGCTGGCTGGTGGGTCAGGCATTCATTTGGATGCAATATCCACCATGGACTTTGTGGGGATGGAGTCTTAACCATGTGGGGATGCAGCCTTGCCTTGGGCCAGGTACCAAGAACACCACAGACTGAAAGCGTTCATCCCTGCAGCCAGCACTGCGGTGGGCTTTGCTGCCCTTTAGGAGCACAGAGCCCCAACAGCTGCTCTGCAGCACAGGAGCAGGAATCTGGGCTGAGTCAGTGTGTGGGTTTAGCTTCAGACCCAGCCAAGGGAGCTGCATCCTCAGTTGAGCACTAGCAGGGCTCTGTACCCCCATCACTGAGCATGGGTACCCATCAGACACCCCTGGGGACTGTTCAGTGTCGGCTCTGTACTGAGCTCCCTGTTCTTTGGTTGTTATTTGAGATCTGCTTAAAACCAAAAGGCACAAGAAGTTGGAGGCTGCCTGATTAACGGCTGAGACTTTCATGTGCACTTGTGTACAAGTGCCTTAAATTTCAATCTAAAGATGTGGGAATGTTGGCTGCTTTTCTCCTCCCCCGTTCTCTGTCACAATGGAAGAACTTGCAGTAACCCTTGGAGTAGAAATGAAATTGCTGATACAAACGTGCTCTGGCATAAGGCACAAACAGCTGGAAAATGTGCTATCTCCCGCAGTATTTTAAGGATGTAGCATCATCAAGGGCTATTCACTAGAGCTGACACTGTGAGCCTACCCTGTGTGTCAGGGAAGAAATGATCTGCCTCCACTTTTCAGTAGGGTATATCCCAAATGTGCAGTGGGCAGGTGACACATCCCTTTCTCTGATGACAGATGTTCTGCCCATCAGCTCAGCTGAACATGGAAAGGGATATGTGAGTAAATCCCTGCTACGGTAGCTGGCAGCAAGCATATTGAGAAACAGATGGTGGTGTGCTACAGTTTTACCTGCTGTAAGGCCAATGCATAATTTAGCAATACAGAAACAGGAATTGTATTCCAGTGGCTGCTGCATTCTTGTGGAGGCTTTTGTTTGATTTAACCATCAGCAGGAGAAAAGGGTAAAGGATATTGTATGTAATTTCTAACTCCCAGAGGATTTGGAAATGTAGCATCCACCAGATTTGGTTTTGAATCCCTGAATTTATCTTCCCCTTGCCATTTCTGTGTGAATCCTAGGCATGGGTTGTGTGCTGTGATGTGTGTGCAGAAGCGGCAGATGCCTGTGTCCTGCCAGTTAGTGCATGGGGAGGAGTAGGAAGCACAGGGCTTTGGGGGGGAGAAACCATCCCCCCTCCATGTGTGCCCCTAATAAGAGTTGTTATCCTCTACAGCAGCCTATGGTACATTGGAGCCCCTTTCAGCCTACAGCTGTGCTTTCTTTACCCCCAAGACACTAATCCTAGAGTTTATCCCACCCTAAAGCTACTACATGTCTCCTGACAGTTCCTCCAATCCTCATTCCCCACTCTGGCCCAAATATCCTTGTTTGCCTTCCTAAAGAATGAACAAAAAGTTTAGGATATAGGGGGCAAAAGGCATACAGCAATTTCAGCTTTGGTGGATGCAAAAGATGGGGCAGGACCTGGTTGAACCACCTGATATGCTGTAATAGACAGTGTCTTGTGCTGAGAGGGGGCAGGTGTGTGTAAGGAAAAGAAAGTTTGGCCCCTCTGTTCCTTGTGTGACTTGAGAAACGAGTCTATGGGACAAGGGGCAATGAAACTGGGTGTAGCAGGGCCCAGTCAGCAGTAGCTGGAATTCTTCCTCCTACCTCCTGATGTAGGACTGGGAAAGAGGAGGACCAGGTGTTCTGCTTTTCCTGGCTTGATGTCCCCTCTTCCCGTCCAACCACATGCGCAGGATGGGAGCAGGGCTCCTGGGAAGTGTTGTCCAGGAGCAGAGGCAGGATGGCACGACCTGCTGACACAGGCAGGCAAAGGGCTTTTTGTGCTACAGTTTTGCCCATTAACCTCAATGAGAAACGTAGCTATTTTTTAAAGTTGTCAATTTGATCATCTGACCTCAGAAAGGGCCTAATATGAGCACTCCAGCTCTGTTTCCAAGCATCCTCTTCCTGCTCTAAATGGCTTCCTTTCCCTGGCTGAGCTCTCCTAATGTCCTCTCCAAGGAGGACGGGGAAAAAATGCACTATAATTTTGCAGTCTTGGCAAATGAGGAATCATGCCCATGAAAACAAATACCCGCTAATTAGGACCATGAAATGCTGATTGAATCACAGCTCTGATAATGGCAAGGGCAGTTTGCAAGCCTGCTTTGTATCCCAAAGGATGAGGAAATATAAAAGCAAGGAGAATTTTTCTTTTAGGAAGCCATTTCAGCCACTCCTGTCCATCTATTTAAAACTTTCCCTGCCAACAGGTACTACTCAGTTGCTGCGTTGTTTCCATTTGAAGTACAAGGGGAGACTGAAGTTATTGCCTAGGATAATTGTTAACAAATGCTGAATTCTCATTTGTGCCCATTATAGCAGGACTAGCATTTTTAACCATATGAATGGTCTCAGATTGACCCCCATTGGGGAGTTTATGTTGTTGCATGACAGCCAGAAGAGATGAGAAAACTGTGGGGAGCCTGGCCAGGGTAAAGCACTGCCTCCAGCATGTCTGTTCTGCTTCTCCCTCTGCCAAGGTGACAAGGGTAAAGTTTAAAGGGGTTAAAAACCAGAACAAAACACTGCATCCAAACTATATTTAAAAGCTTTTAACAGTCTGTGTTATCAACAGCTATTTGGTGAAGTCCACTCTCCCTTTCTGTCCTTGCCTCTTTGCTCCTGTTCTCCCCAGTAAGCTACAAAACAAGTGCTCTGGTTTAGCAGTGGGCTGGGGTAACCACCCCTCTGCACCCATGCCCTCACCCTCTGCATATACTGAGATAGGGGGTTGCACAGCTTTGCCTGCTGTGTCCAGCTGTGGCTGCAGATGTGCTGAGGAGTGACCCTGGTGCTGTGCCACACACATCTGGTGGAAAGGGGTGAGATGTGGGGAAAGCTCCCTGGCAGGGGCAAGGCTCCATGTCCAACACCTGCATGGGGGCTTGCTGGACGGGAGAGGTCCTGCTGAGTGAGCAGCTGAGGCTGCAGCCACCACTGCCCATCCCACTGCCCCCTCCGCCCTTCCCTCCCCGCTTCCTTTCCCATTGTTTGTGTTCCTGACACTACTGCTCCCAACCCATCTGGTACAGCCACTGCTGGGACAGGCCTTTCTCTTCTTGGTGCTCTTATTTTTAAAAAAGGGAGGGATTTCTTGCTCTTGGAGGGGCTCTGCTCACCTGGAACATGCAAGATCCATGTTGCCTTAACTGGGGCTGTCTTTCTTGGCAAGATGAACTTCATTCTCTGTAGTATCAGTGCAGATTTCTTCTCCAGATGCTGAAAACTTCAAGGCAAATCAAAGCAGGCAGCTGGGGGAGGACTTGTCTGTGTTGTGGTGCAGGAAGGCACCTCATGAAGTGGTGGAATCACCATCCCTAGAAGCACTCAGACACAGTCTAGATGAGGCCCTTAGTGACATGGTTTAGTGGTGGACTTGCAGTCCTGGGGTAACGGTTGGACTTGGCCTTAAGGTCTTTTCCAACCTGGTTGATTCTGTGATTAAGCGCAGAGCAGAGTTACGGTTCAGGCTTTCAGTGCAGAGATGGATCTTGTGGACCCTGCACAGGTGATTGACTCATGACCCTCCCATGTTCCCATATTCCCAGATTTGGGTAGGAAATAAAATCCATATGATATTAAAATATTTGTATTTTTTAATCATTTTGGGTGACTTGAGTAGCAAATGATCACAAAATGTCTGCTGAGGCCAAGGAGAAAACTGAGTAATGGCAGGAGGATCTGCAGGGCGAGGTGGGGAAGAGTCACTGCTTGGGGTCAGCCTGTTGGTGGGGCAGCGCACGGAGCCCTTGTGGCATGCCCAGCCTTGCTGCATGCCCATTGAGGGCAGTTGGAGTCCTTCCTTTGATTTCAATGGGCTTTGGATCAAGCCCATGGCATGCTGCTTGTTTATTTTGGAGGCCTTCTGAGGATAAAAGCATCCTTTCAATGGCTGCTCTTTTTCTTTCTCCTTTGGTTCAGTTGCTCCTTGTACCCTGTGCTATTGGACACGCACCTGCTTTCTGCACAGACAAAGCTCATGTGCTTTGGAAAGCTTTGGTCTCACTTGTAGCAGTGTTTGGTGCCCTGTATAAGTGATGTGGTCCTGCTGTGGGGAAATGCTGTGAGCTGCTTGATTCCTTTTCCACGGTCAAATATTCAGCACTAAGGTTCACCTTCAAGAGATGCTTATACCAGAGCCCATCTGCTCTGGTGTAACAACAAAACATACTGATTCGCTTCCTTTCAAATTCTAGATGGTTAGTTCCTAATTGTTTGTCCAGAGCTGGTAAATATGCACTCTACAGGTACTTTAATAGTAAAATGAGGCACTAATTGCTGTAGCAACAGATGATGCATTGTGAAATGATGGCTTTCTGCTTCCTAGCTCAAGGAGTGCAGTTGCATCAGAGTGCAGTTGCATCTTAGAAAACATCACTCCATAGCACCAAGAGTGCTGGCAACTTGTTATGTAGATTTACAGTAACTTGTATACAGATTTACAGTATCAATTTCTTTTTGCTTATTTTATTTACTGGTGCTGCCTCTTTCCCCTGATTTGTAATCCTCCTGCAAAAACTGGCTGGGAAAATGCATGGCTCTGCCTCAAAAAGCTCTGATCTGAGCTCGCCCAGGTGCAACAAGACCTGTTGACTTGAGGTTGGATCAAGTCCCATATAGAAGTGGCCAC